CCTACCTACCTTATATCATCTGGTTTGTGTCATAAGAGATGACAGAGGAATATAAACAGGAGAGCCATTCTCTTGTTTATATTCCTCTGTCATCGGCATCTTTTTAACTACAACTCGAAATTATACAAAACAGCGGTTGCTAGCCCGCCTACCAAACGTGGCAACTATTCACATATATCCCCCTATGAGGCGTCATAATATGTCTGTCAGGCTTTCATGTACCAACCCTTTTTATACTGTTTTGGTTTGGTGAATTTTGGAAGAATAATACTTAGAGTAATCTATTCCATCGCACATTTTATAGTATGAATGTCATAAGAGATGCTTATGGAATTACCTGTATGATCCTCTGAACTTCACTCTATTTTATGTCTGATGTAATTTAGGCCACGCCCTGCAATAGAACAGCGGTGCAATATATCTGGAATGCCGTTTAAAAATTCATTAATCAAATATGTTAATTTGTGAGTATAATTTTTGTATAAGAGGCCTAGCTGTTAACTGATAACGGTCTGATAAGGAATAAAGAGAAAGAAAATTACCACATTTTCGTTATCAGTAAATATATTTAGCATCAATATTTTTTTATGCTTAAGTTTAGAAAACAATGCACTTAATCGTTTTAACCTAAAAGTTGGCAATTAACCAAGGCTTCATTCGATAATTTCTACGAGTCGTGCGATTAAACCAACGATTTAGTAACATTATTAGTATGCAATAGAACTATTAACTGTAATATCGTTCCGTCCATCTATATTTAGATAGGTATATTTGCCTATGATAAAATAGTTGGCAACATATTTATGAGGTTCAAATGTTTAAATGTTTTGTAGGTATATACATATTTATAACATTTCATATTATTTAACAGGTAATATATATATATATATATATATATATATATATATATATATATATATATAGCGCGATTTTTTATTTAACCTTTACTACCTAAAAACTTACAAACAATTTACGATCGCTCCCAACAAGATAATGAAGAGGACAGAGAGGAGTTCCTTTCTGGCGCGATTTAAATTGATGCATAACGAAGTGATTTTGAAAAAGTATTGACCGATTACACTTTATATAAAATGCAAATCTACCCAGAAGCATAAGTGGAATATCAGTCATCGTTCAGTCGCGTTTGAGGAATCGCGTTATCATATAAAACGTGTAATATTCGTCTTAAAAGTCGAATAACAAATGAATGTCAAAAATTGGCCCCAAGATCGCGACTGTCGTTACCACTTAGAAGAAATCGCATCATGACATCGTCACGTCACGTCATGTTAAGATATCTGCACGTGGCCATTATTTTGCGCAACTTTCAAGTTCACAGTGCATGAAAATCTATCCCTATCAGACGCCGATAAAATGTATTCCTTGCTTGGTAAATTAACAAACAAAACGCAGTCTATGTTCGCTGGTATAACTCCTTGTACTAATAACTACGAACTTTATAGATAAGCATGAGCTTACTTTCATTCGAATGTTGCTTGCAGCGCCATCCTTCAATAGACTCTCTAGAGTCGCTGGAGTCAGTATGGCCGTATCAGCGCATATCGCCATCTATCAGCAATAATAGGCAAATATTGGTATTAAATTGGGGCAACCGCCATCTATCGGTAATATGTAATTGACAAATATTTATATTTATGATTTAGTTTATCTTTTACGTGAATTTATTATAATTATTATTAAGTATTGAAATATCGGAACTATATAATATTTAAAAACAAATTGTTATTTGTAAACATAAAACCATTATTTTTTAAGGTCTGATATTTTTAAACACTGTTTAGATTGTTTGATAATTTTAAAGACGTTTGTTGTTTCATTTACTGTTGAAATACTAATTTATAGTATGTAAATATTCAAAATAATATCTATTGGGATTAAAATTATTATTCCGTATCAAATTTTATTATTTCATGTGATAAGTTTATTATTTTATGAAATAAGTCTTGCCTACTTTCTTTCGAATATTGTTTGCAGCGCCATCCTTCAACACACTATGTAAAACTAATGCTTGTTTAAATTAAATTAACAATTATTTATATAATATAAATCATTGCGAGTTATTTAAATTTATTAAAATGTTTTTTATAAATATTATATGAATAGCTTTATTTTAAGAATTATTTTATATACTTGTTCGTAACACAGCATTAAGGTGAATCCCTGACCAAAATGTTGCGAAAGTGCGTTTTTCAGACTCTATTATCTCATTAGTTATGAAAAATAAACTACATCTAAAAGTACATTATTAATGTTCGATATCTTATCACCACATTACACTTTCTAATTTATTTTTATGTGCTATAAATACATTTAAAATCAACTTTTAAAAAATGACTAAAATTCTTGATTACATGCATCTGTTGCTAAACGCAACGCTCTAATCATTTGAGGATAACACTAATGGATAGATAATTAAAAAATCTATATTCTCCACGTTTTATTTAAATTTTTAAGTTCGTTTTTTCTCTTTTAATTGAAATAATTCCGAAAATTGTGTGACTTCTATGATAAAGGGGCGTGCGCAGAGTGCGGGCGGCATTACGCTGTATGCGTTAGTAGGAGGTGGCCGCGTCGCTGGTCGCCGCGTTTCGTATTTCGCCGCAAACATAATATTATTTGAGTACCTACCAACCGATGCGCTTACGTCACGGTATATTGTAACTCGGCCGTATCTTAGAAATAAATCTTACAGCCGTGCGGTACGTAAACATGTGATAGGGCTGCTGCCTCCAGTATTTTTACATTTGCCCATTGATTTATGTGTTTTATAACTCAATGCATTTTCCTACTTTGTGTTTCCATTTAGTTTTATGATTGTACTAAAATATACTTTTTTATATAAGCAAATATATAATAGGTACTTTGTGAATTGAATAGGAAGTGTTCAATAAAAATGCGTGTCGTTTTATGATTGGTAGTTTTAATTAAAAAACCATGTTTATGTTTGAATAACAAATCGGTCTTATAAATTTGCGGCCGAAAAATATTTGCGCCTCGGCTGAGACGTACGAAATGCTTTATTATTAAAATTTTAAATATAAAAAATCCGCATTATAATATAAAGCTTAATTAAAAATTGTTTTGGGAAACATGGACAAGTTGGAGTAAAGGAATATCTTTTACTTGGTTATAGATACCTGCAGCTATTTTACAATTTATATGTTTGGTTTTAAATGAAGTTTGGATTTATTATTTTTTTATTTCTATTCTATTTTCTGAAAGGGTCCTAGGAAAGGAATTATCCACCGCGCTGCCCCACTGCGTGTTGGCGAACTTTGCATGTCTTCGAAATATTATTTTTCTTATTTCCAGACATGCAGGTTTCCTCACAATGTTTTCCTTCACCACTGAGCACGCGGTAAATCAACACTTAAAATTGCAATTACAATATTATTGGTGCCGGCGGGGATCGAACAAGGTTTGCTCGCACACTGTGAAAATTTTAGCAAGCGCTAACCATCTGAGCTACCACGGCTCCTCTCCTCTCGAGCTAGAGACTTTATTTTATTTATCGTCAGGCCTGTTGGTCTAGTGGTTAGTGACCTTGACTGCTATGTCGTAGGTCGTGGGTTCAATTCCCACCCAGGACAAATGTTTGTGTGATGAGCACGATCTTTTTTCTGTGTTGGGTGTAATTTATCTGTAATATTTATGTATTTAGAAATATATAAGTATGTTTATCAGTTGTCTAGTACCCATAACACAAGCTCTGCTTAGCTTGGGACTAGATGGCGTTGTGTGATATTTGTGGAATATTATTATTATTATATTATTATTGTTGGGGTATCTGTATAGTTTTCTCATCTGGTTGGTTTTTATAAATATAAATTAAAATGAAAAGATAAATATACATAAATATCAATAAAATAAAATAAATACAAAAAATATACACATAAATAAAGATCCAACCATATTAAATAAAAAATAGTCTCCTATCTTTCTCTCTATGTTTTGATCTCCTAAAACGAGTTTGAGTTGGTAAAATCAAGGCAAACTTAGGGTAGGGTTGTCAATTATTATTTTGATAATAAAACTAGTGAAATTCCGCGGTTTTATATGCGCAAGCGTGAACGTAGTTAGAACATAATATAACCTTTATATTTTACATAAATATCCTAAAAAACTTATTATTTTAATATTTTACTAAGTACCTATAAAATTAACAAGTTTATTGCATTTTTATTTGAGTAATTTTTTATGCAATTTCTTTATCTACGTCTATTTTTAGAAACCTTTATTTAGTCTGAATCATACAATCTGATTTACTTACTTATACGTAGTTTTTTTTTTTGCAGTTACAAATATCTTGTGAGGTTGAAAAAGGCAGTAATGAAAAAATAATAAGAATAATAATAATTGACGTCAGCCACTTCTTTTCATAATTTCGTCATGGTCCATTAGGTTGCAGCTTCACCGAACCACAACTTATAATAATAATAATAATCAATATGGCGTAGGGAAGTGACGACCCCATCGCCCGCTGACGTGACGGTTATGTGACAAAACCGCTACGTCCGCGCAGTCAGTCAGCACCTTGCCAAGAGGTGTGAGCGCCGTGCCTCGGCAAAAATTGATGGTGCAAGGGCCCGCTTGTGCATATGGCCTCACCATGAAACGGCGCCGGGTCTGGGCGTCTCCCGTTAAATGACGCCCTGTATGGATGATGGAACATAGAAGATTGCGCAAAGGGCCGCTGCCTGGAGGTCGTCAGGGCGCGTCTGGAGCTGGCGCTGGACGCGACAGCATGCGAACCGCCAGCCGAGCGCGAGGTGCTGCACGACCACCCAGCAGCCCCTCGCATCCATCATCCCCACCAGCTTGCTTGGTGTCGGCAGGGTCTTCGCAGGCCCAGCAATCGGCACCCGCCACTGGTGGAGTACGCCGCATGCGATGGACCATCAATATGAATTCAAACGCATTGCGGGCGTATTTTAGGGCGAAAGGGGGGAGAAATTGGAGGTTTCGCGTATCGGGCTAGGATGCATCGTCTTTTTACTGAGCTGGAGCCATCTATTACTGTCACCGAGCAAAACCTGGCAGACCGAGTTCGGTATATCTTACGCTCAAATATATTTGATGGCGCCGAACTCGAACGGCTACGACGTGAGGCTGTTCCCTCATCAAATGAAAACGCTACGACTGAGGGTGCGGTGCCACAAGTTGCAGAACAACCCGCACACGTGGATGCCGCCGAGAATACCCCAGTGGTTGCTGATTCAAATGATGATGGAACATTCACCCAGGAACTAGAAATAGAGCAAATGAGGAGTACATTGGAAGAGGCGATTGTGGAAACGCGCAGTACGCCTCTCGAAAATCGACCGCGACTTCCCCGCATAGCCCTAAGCAAGCGGAATCGGGCTGTCGTGAGGGCTCTGAACCCAATGCTGGTGACCTATTTGGAAGCCAGCCGGGACCTTTGCGAGACGGACTCAATTCTCTTTGGCGCCGCACTGGCAGTCTGCCGTATTATAGGCGCCAAACTTTCCACGGCTGGACGCACTACTGGACAAAGTAGTGCTATCCCAGCCTGGAGAACAAGAATTGAAGAACGTATCGCAAAGGCTAGGGCCCTCATCGGCAGACTGATATGCTTCAGGTCAGGCAATACCAGGCCAAGGATTGTGCGCACCGTCAGGATGGCGTTTGCTGGGACAAATGTTAGTTTGTCCCAGCCGGATATAATGCAAAAACTGACGGAGCGCATAGACGACCTGAAGCAGAGAATCGCTGCTTGGGGAAAGCGAATTCGGCGATATACCGAGAGGTCGACACGGTTCAACCAGAATCGTCTCTTCCAGAGTGATCAGAAGAGGCTCTATAAATCATTGGAGCGACCAATGGTAAGTGGAACGGGCCCAGTACCGAATCAGGCCGACACGGTCGCATTCTGGCGCAGCCTGTGGTCAGAGCCCGTAAACCACAGCGAGGGCCCTTGGACGGAAGTTGTGGCGAGTCAGTGTGCGGGTATTACGCCCATGGACCCCGTCACCATAACGCCGGATGACGTAGCTGAGGCGGTCCGTAGGGCCCCGAACTGGAAAAGTCCGGGACTTGACGGGCTGCATCACTACTGGCTGAAGGGGTTCGTGGTGTGTCACACTGTGCTCGCCCGACAGTTTCAAGAGGTTCTCAACCAGAAGTCGCTCCCGAGCCTCTTCACTACTGGGATCACCCATTTGGTTCCTAAAGACCAGAGTACCACAGACCCGAGCAAATACCGCCCCATCACATGTCTACCGACCATATATAAGACACTAACATCCATTTTGAGCGCGAGAATCACTCGTCACCTGGACTCAAATCAGGTGATGTCGCGCGCTCAAAATGGATGTCGGGGCGGCGGTCGTGGAACCAAGGAACCACTCCTCATTGACGCGGTCATTGGCAAAGTGGTGAAACGCAACCGTCGGAACTTCTCCGCCGCCTGGATAGACTACAGAAAGGCATTCGACTCGGTGCCCCATACATGGCTAAAGAGAGTCCTCGAACTGTACAAGATAGACTGTACAGTTAGAGACTTCCTCGAGCAGTGTAAGGGGCAGTGGAGTACGATCCTTTGTCATCTGGGCGAGCGGATGATGGCTGCGGAGAACCACATAAGGATAAGAAGGGGTATCTTCCAGGGCGATTGTCTGAGTCCAATATGGTTCTGCCTCTCTCTGAACCCTCTCAGTACCTTACTGGAGGGCTCCGGGAGGGGATTTCAGCTACGGAAAGGAGGGACAAAAGTGACCCACCTTTTCTATATGGATGACCTCAAGTTATTCGCCTCCAGTCGCTCCCATCTTATGGAATTGCTAAACATCACTTGTGAATTTAGCAATTCCATTGGAATGGAGCTGGGGACGGATAAGTGTGCGGTCCTCCATGTTGAGAGGGGTAGGGTTGCTAACTCTGAGGGCATAGACTTATCTATGCCCGTCAACTTAAGGACCCTTTCCGAGGCTGAAACATACCGATACCTGGGTATGTCACAGAACATCGGTATCGATGAGGCTGGTATGAAACAGTCAGTTTGCGACGTGTTTTATGCACGCTTGACCAAAGTGCTTAACAGCCTTTTGTCCGGTGTGAATAAGACACAAGCATATAACGGCTGGGTCATACCTGTCCTCATGTATACCTTTGGCATACTCAGGTGGACTCAGACTGAACTTAACGCCCTGGATAGAAAAGTCCGCACTACCATGACGTCCCACAGGATGCATCATCCGAGATCGTCGGTAATGAGGCTGTACTTGCCGCGAAAGCATGGTGGGCGTGGCTTCTTGAGCGCGCTCACCATGCATAATCGCGAAGTGTGCAGCCTCCGTAATTACTTCCTGGCGAGATCGGATGATCCATTCTATAAGGACGTCATTTCTTGTGATAAAGGACTTACCCCTCTATCCTTAGCCAACGAGCAATGGCAAGACCCGGCAGTGCAGACAATTTCCGACCGGGAGACCGTATGGAAGGAGAAGGAGCTCCACGGGAGGTTCTACAAGTCTCTACATGGGCCTTTCGTAGACACAGTAACCTCTCTCCACTGGCTACGCTTTGGTGACCTCTTCGGGGAAACCGAGGGTTTTGTCTGTGCAATACAGGATCAGGTTATTAAGACCAACAACTATCGGAGATACATCCTAAAGGATGGCACCATCGACATCTGTCGAGCTTGTCGCCATCCCGGTGAGTCACTTAGGCATGTCATCTCCGGTTGTTCGGCGCTTTCTAACTCTGAGTACTTGCACAGGCACAACCTAGTAGCCAGAATTCTACACCAGGAGCTCGCTCTGAAATACGGTTTCGTGGATCGGAAGTTGCCGTATTACAAGTACTTGCCGGAAGCCGTGCTCGAAAATGATCGCGCCAGGCTCTATTGGGACCGGGCCATCATCACAGACAGGACTATTCTTGCGAATAAGCCTGATATTGTGCTGATGGACCGGGCACAGTCAAGGATATTTTTGGTCGACATTACCATTCCGTGTGACGAGAACCTCGTGAAAGCCGAAACAGATAAGCAAACAAAATATCTGGACCTGGCTCACGAGGTGACCGACATGTGGGGTGGTCTGCCGACCGAAATTATTCCTGTAGTCGTCTCTGCAAACGGGCTAATCCCAGTCAGCCTCTCGGGTCATCTGAGGCGGCTGGGACTACGTGGCGGACCGCTCCAGGTTCAAATGCAGAAGGCGGTGCTCCTCGATACCGCCCGCATCGTCCGCCGGTTTCTTTCCCTTTCCCCCTAACCCTCGGCCGTTTGGTCTCCCCTGCCGAGGGCTTCCATCTGGTTGGGCTTTTATTTATTTATGTATTTTTATATTTATTTTATTTTATTGATATTTTTGTATGTTTATCTTTTCATTTTCGTTTATAATTATATATTTATACATCCCAACCAGATGAGAAAACTATATAGATACCCCACACATAACAATAATATATAATATTATTTCGTATTTATTTTATTTTATTGATATTTGTTTTTATCTTTTCATTTTAATTTATAATTTTTATATATTTAAATATTTATATAACCGAACCAGATGAGAAAATTATACGGCTCCAACGATTTTAGCGACGAACGCTTGGATTTTTTTTTAGAAAATGTCCTTTTGTCCATGTTTTCAGGCAATAAAAAAACTGTTACAATATAAGAAGGTAAATTTCGATTGATCATTAACGGTCGTTATAGCTCAGGTGGTATGTCGGTCGGGCGTGATATCGGAGTTCCGTGGTTCGCGTCTTGGCTTTGGTCCCGCTTTTTTTTTTCCTTTTTTTTTCAAGTTCCCTTCTTTTGTGAGAAAATTTATTATTTCAAACCCCTTTTTTTTAGTAATTTTTAAAAATACGAAAATTTTAATTTCAAAAATTTTAAAAAAATATCTATTTAGTTACTAATGCTATATTTATTATTTTAATAATTACCTACCCAGTAGGTAAATATTAAAATAATAAATGTAGCATTATAAACAGTAAATCTCCCTCAAACTCAATTTACTAATATTGCTCCTAAATAAGGAATAGCAGATAAAAGATTAGTAGGTAATAACTATTGCTCCTCAAAATTATATTTGACCTCAAGGTAAAACATATCCTAAAATTCAGTAGCTAAATAAAATAATAATAACTAGTATTCAAGTATATTTTCAATATGTAAGTAAATGAAAATAACAAAAATGAAGCACCATTAGCATGTAAAGTTCGAATCCATAATTAATATTTCGACAAATATTATAATTTACACTATAAAAAGCTAATTCAATATTAGCAGTATAGTATATAGTTAAAAATAATCAAAATAGTCATTTTTATTAATTAGATAATATATTAGAATACATAATTCTAATATAATGCAACTAATATACCGAATAAAGAAAATTAAAATACATTTATCATTGTACGCCGTGTCTATTTCCATAGAAGAGTTCATTGACATTGAAAAAATAATACTACGTTCGTAGCAGTAGGTGGCGTCTTTTGGCGATTTCTTACGCGATATATTGTAGCGAGCGTCGACAGACCAAACGCTCAAGGTCGTTCGCTGGAGGTAGCGCCTTAAGAGCGTGTATTAAAATATTTGCAAGTTGAATTCGCTCTGGAAAAGCTTAATATTGACGCACACTACAATCTTATCTGTGTGCGTGACTGCTCGTGGTGGGTTGAGCGCAGTGGTATCTATAATTATTCTAACACGAATCATCTTAATACTATTGGAACTAAAACAATAAAATAATTTCCACATAATATCTTATGATTTCGGTGCTAAATCATATTGAATATAAGAATTAATATCCGATCTAGCCCCGACACTATACTAATATGTATAAATTATTTTGTTTGTTTAGTAAATTGAATTCGGCTTTTCTTTTTTACACTATTTTATAGACTAAGGAATGTCAAAACGCCAAGCTTACAACTTGAGAGGGATAAGTAATATATGTTCGAATAGAAAAATATGTATTTTATAAAACAAATTTCGTTTGATTATTCTGTTTTATAATGGAAAGATAATTCATCAAAATAACAATTTCAGTGGAGTCGGCAGAGTTGAACCCGGATTGCTCGCGCACGTGGCGATCAATTCGCTTCTATCATGGCTCATATTATCTTTTTTTGTTTCTATTTTATGATATCGTTACTTCCATATTAAGAATGTTTCCTAGGTATATCGTGGGGGCAGTTAACACAAGAACATACATTTCACAAATACAAATTAATATCCAGACCAATTATTACCAACGGAAAATTATTTGTAAGAATAAAAATTTTTGTTCCATGCGGGAATCGATCCAGCGGTCCCTAGAGTTAAACTCATTGCTAAGCCAGTCCGCCACGAAGCCATCCAATATATGTCTTTTGTAGTGACAAATATTTTCATTGTAAAGCGCTTCCTATTAAATAAACTTATAAAATTATTAATAATCAAATTAAATAATATCGTTTACGTTATGTTGTGTTGCGCGTGCTATTATTTATTCTGTAGTTGCGCCTTCATCGTTTCGGATAGGGTGGCCAGATAAAATCGGGAATTTGGTTTTAAAGTCAGTATAGTTAAAATAGCTAAAAAAAAAACAGATTTTTGTAACCACTGCGTTCGCTTAGTTATACTGGTGTTTATTACCAAATCTGTTTTATAATTATTGTTAAGAATTGAACAAACCAACGAATAATTTTTCGTCCATATATCGTTGCTGTGCAGACTCTGAACTTTCTGAATAATATAATTGTGAAAACAGTAATGGATCCTAAGAACTCACACTCATGCACTTTAAAAAGCCCTATAAAAAAACGGCATAATTCAAACGATTACCTCACACCTTGATGTCCTAGAAAAAGTCCTTGCATCAGACTTATAATGTAACATTATTTATCGAAAACAACACAAACGAGTGAAGAAATTGACTAGTGGACTTTTCCACAAGCCTTTTGCATTTTACTAAATATACATATATAAACAGCAGCATGTACATAAGTTAGGTACTGTACCAATTTCTAGTAATAAAATGAGATAATAAATGACCGTCGAATTAATGACATCGATTTATTGTGCAACACGGCGATAGGCATTGAGAAAAAGTCAACATGTTTGATATCTGTATCT